CCCGCAATACAGGGGTGCATCAAAGTCGTATAATACCCTACCTTTTAGCCTTTCGTAGCGTAAGCGGCTTGCTGTTATGTCATCAGTCATCACAGAAATTTAAATTGTACCTTGCATGCAGTGTTATGATTTGAGAAAGGAAATATGAATACTATACGGGTTTATTTATGATATAAGCCGGTAAACGAGGGTCACCTGATGGTACCTAAACAGTCGGCGTCGCCCATGGACACTTGGAACGGCAGCCGAAACATGGCTCTCCCACACTAAACGATATAAAATTTTTAATTATAATCAGATACAGAAGTCTCCGGTACATAGTATGCAGCCTAGGTATTATAAAGTTTCCAAAGTTGTTTGGACTTCTGTATAGAATATTTTCCATTAGGTACGTCATAAAGCTGTATAGAATATTTTTTAAAGAAATTCTCAGTAGTAGCACGGAGTCTAGAATTGTGCCCGGTATATAGCACGATCTCCCTCTATAACATGGGACTCATAACATACCTCTAAATAGTGAAAAGTGGGTGTTACATTGTGCAGTAGCATTCAGTGTCGTAATGTGCACCTCTGCCTATCCCTTCGAGGATAAACGGCGTGATACTATATTCTAAATAATCTCTGTTGCGGTTATCATAAATCAGTATAGGATAAAATAACACAGTGAGCTAAAAAACCCACATGTTAAACTGAAAACTGAATAAAACCAAAACAACAACAGGCTTTGTGTTTAAATAAAGGATTTTCATACTGTGCAGTTTTTGTGGTCGCGCTCTGATGCGAAAGTGTGGCTGACATGGCAAACCAAATCAATCAACTGGATTTGTCATATTTTTTAAGTGCTTTGTTTGGTGTATATTTCCTAAAATCGCTGTTTTTTTAATGATCTTTGTTCTTCACATTTTTATAAGAGAAAACCATAACATTCTGGCATATAAAAAAAGTAACTTTCTATAAATGCGGTCAAATAGAACACATCGTTCATATCAAATTTGGAAATAGTCCAAAAACGATCAACATACATACATTCACGATAATAGATAATATTAAGTCTGGAGACATTGTTTATGAATTTGTACTTACGTATTATACCTAGTGATGTCTTTGGTTTCAAGGTCGAAGGTCTCCATGAAGACGAAGAAGTGTGAGTCTTACGTCCAGTTTCTATAACCTATCTATCTGTAGATTTGCTTACTAGAGATAGAATTTTGACATGAGCTCCATACAAAAAGTGTCAAAATTCTATCTCTAGTAAGCAAATCTACAGATAGATAGGTTATAGAAACTGGACGTTACTGGCTCAAGACCATGACAATAGTTTATTAGCGTTAAGAATGCAGTGAGTCATCAGTACAACTGTAAGATAAAGGTGTATTTACAGTGGTGTGAAATTCAAACAAAGTATATTGTAAAAGATTAAGCTTAATCATGTATATACATATAATAAAATTGTAGAAAATTCAAAACTGTAAATAGAATATTTTTTTTAAAAGAATATTTGAGGCGTACCTAATCTATAATCGATACCGAAACCAAAAATATAGTTTTTAGTTTTTTTGTATGTTTATCTGTTTGCCTGTATATAAGTCCGGGCTAAACTCAAAAAGTACTGCATAGATTAATTTCAAATTTTGCAAAAATATTACAAACAGGCCAGGTCAACACATAGGTTACATATTATGACGCTATCACCTACGGGAGAGGAGCTGTGAAGAACTATCCAAAGTCACTATTCCACGCGGACGAAGTCGCTGGCATCTACTAGTAAATCACTACATAGTATAAAACAAAGTTGCTACCCGCCGTCTGTCTGTCCCTATGTATGCTTAGATCTTTAAAACTACGCAACGGATTTTGATGCGGTTTTTTTTATTACATAGAGTGATTCTAAAGGAAGGTTTATATGTATAATACATGCATATTGCACCCGTGCGAAGCCGGGGCGAGTCGCTAGTTTATAATAATACACTTAAAAGTTTAAAATCAGTCTAGGGAACGGGTGTAGACTGACGGACAATGATGACTTACTGCAGTAAGTTCTTAACGCGAATGTAGGTACTATAAGTTTAAAAACAGGTTCGTTACGATGACTAAAATAAGTTAGTTGCACAAATTGCAGTTCTGAACGAAGTAACACAGTAAATGCAAATTTGTAACTCAAATTAAATGCTAGATTAGATGTCCATAGTAATACCTAGTTGATAGGTCTATAAAGTAGAAGCACCTGCATACTAATACAACAATGTATTCTAATGCTTTGTTCATTTTACAGTGCAGGTTAGTACTAAGTAAGTCTGAAATCTGCCTTATTACATCATTGACCAAGTGTTCTCAAATGCGACTGCCGGGCACGGAGTCTCAGGTTGGGATTCACAGGTCGAGCAAAGTAACATAACATAACATCACGCCTTTTTATCCCCGAAAACCATAGGCAGCGGTGCACATTTCGGCACTTAATGCCACTGTAGGTACAGTGTAACACCCACTTTTCACTATTTATGTTATGAGTCCCATGTAATAGGGGGTGAGCCTATTGCCTTATACCGGGTACATTGCCAGGGTCCGTGCTACTACTGAGTTTTTTAAAAACCCAGTACTTTTGGCGACCCGGGAATCGAACCTGAGACTCCTTGCCCGGCAGTCGCACTTGCAACCACTCGGCCAACGAGGCAGTCATAATCAAGCAAAGTATTACTGTTTCTTTAATAAATTCTCAGTTGTACCACGGAGTATGGAATTGTGCCCGGTATATAGGCTCACCCATTATTACATGGGACTCATAATATAAATAGTGAAATGTGGGTGTTACATTGTATAGTGGCATTATGTGCCGTAATGTGCGCCTCTGTCTACCCCTTCGGGGATAAAAGGCATGACGTTGTGTTATGTTATAGAAGTTGAAAAAGTGCTTGATTCAATTTGCTAAATGTTTGCAATTAGCAGGTTCAAGTCATAAGTCAATAGTTACGGTGGTAGTAATAAAACATGCTAAAATAAACAACTCAATTTTGGAATTCCATCAAAAATTATCACTTGCCCCTCCCTCCATGTAATAAATTAAATGCATACAATAGTTAACTGTCCTATCTATGGAACACAATCGTTATAAAAGTAAACAAAACAATTCATTAACTCGTCGAGTACCGGTTTTATAGACACAATTAAAGAACAATAGGTCGCGGTCACCGGTGACCGCTTGGTGTTTGACAGTTTAAGGGGGTTCAAATAACTCATAACACGTCTAATAGTAGGTAACAACAAACCATACTGTTTGTTTGTCCACTCAATATCGCATGCACGTACCGTACACCACTCAAATCACAATTACGTATTCCCGGGCAGGCTCCGCGCTTATGCAAAAAACATCTTCAATAGACTCTAATTGCCTTCGGTTTGGTTCGCTTTTGTGTTGTTAATCAACGCACTGTGATTGTTCAAAAGCCATTGTCCTCCTTTGTTAGGCCGACCCTTGGGTTTATTACGACATTTTTGCAAAAGACAACCCTGTCATGAAAATATTGTAATAAAGTAGGTATATGTGTTAACTAAAATCACGAGTTACTCACGTGAATATACTGAGAAAGGCTCTATTTGTTTCGAACCACAAAAGGGTTCTTCCTCATGAGCAGCGTGCGCGGTCGTGGCGACGTCGCGAAGTATGTCTCACGATAGTTATTATAAAAACAAAGTATATGTGTGTCAGTTTGTATCTCTGCCACGAACGTATATTCTTGTTTCTCGAATTAATTTTGTTGAGACGGTCGCCATCGCTAATTGCCACTAATCCCTTGCCATTAAAGGAATATGAGGTATCATTATATTACATGTAATTAGGGCACACGCGTTAGCTTGGTGCGCCATGTCGAGTTGCGACGGAACCCCTTACATTTGTACGTAGGGTTGTTTTGTGGGGTATATATTAACTTTGGACGTATTTCCCAGAACCAAGGAGAACTGACAAAGGGACCGACCTGCTTATACATAGCTAGCTGCACAAATTCTACTTAACTTGTCTTGTACAGTAATTGTAATACGAGTCACATAGCGTGAAATCAAGTTTATTTTGTAAAAACAAATGCTAACGACCTTTTTTAATGTTCCTTCAAATTTTGATCCCTATAATTTTAATAACAACGACAACCGATATTAAATATTCAGGAAATGTCGGTCCGGGTTACATTAATTTCCTATAAAATGTTGACAAAATTTTAATTTGGTCGGAAAACAAAATTATGGGAGTCTTCGTATTTGTCCAATAATAAAAAGGGTCTGTTTGTTGTCGAATTAGGTTGTGTTAGGTATCGTGAAAGGCATCGGTGGAGTATCAACATAACCGCTCGAATGGCGGACACATATTTCTTATCGGCGACTCTCGAGTTTACTTTGTGCTATTCACAGCGTTCTTTGAGAGCTCGCAGGCAAGGAGCAAACATCTTTTGGTGTTACATCCATTACCGACATTATCAGCGAACTCTTCACAAGATGGGGAAAATATTTTAGCACATTTTCTTTTTACTTATAGATTTTCGTTCTTTGAGTTCGTGGGTCGGGATAATTTTGTTAAAGGGCTGGGATTTCTTGGTAAACACTTTGGATGAGTAAACGAGTAGGTTAGAAGCCTAATTAATGGTTTTGGAATATCTAATCATGAAGATGTTTGATTAAGCCGTCGATAACGTCAAAATAAAGGTTCTCTTTTCCATTCAAATTATAAAAGAACTCTTTTACAAACTGAAAACCGAAACTGATAATTAATTCAATTGAAACTAAAGTAAAAATATCGAATAAAATTTCTCAACGGACTCAGTTTTTAATTAAAATATATAATATTAAATGTGTTTAACTGCGCCACGGGATTATGCGATATGAAAAGACTTTCAATTTTTATTTGATGCAAAGTTATTTCAATGTTTGAATGTTTTTGTTGCAGGTACATACATTGCAGCATGGTAACAGTGGAGTACTAGGAGTGTCATACGTAAAGGATCAAGTGGTTCATAATGTGCGTCAAAACTATCGAAGTTAGAACGATGTTCGTCGCAATGATCTTAGTGTTAGTGAGTGTGGTGGGTGCTAATGTGAACTCTACGAGTGAGCTGGGAGGATCCCGCATGGCATGGATGAAGTCCTTGCTGGACCACCACAGCTGGACTGAGTATCTCACCAACGGCAACCTGACCCTGCCCGAGAACTGCGAGAGTGACCTCAAAGTCTACTTGTCGGCTCTCAACGAAGGAAAGCTGTGGGCTTCGAAAAGTAAGTCATATTTGATTAATAGGAAAAGGTTCAAACAAAACCGCATGAAACAAAACTGTTCTATCAACCTAAATGGCAGGCTTACCCGATGTATAATCGTTGCGGTATTTTACCAGTTAGCAGCCTCCTCAGTTGAGTTGTTACATAATATGAGATAAGAGTTGTAAAGAAAGCAGGTGGCAGGCCGCCGCCCGCGCCGCGCCATGCTCACAACTAGGTCGCTGCATACCTTACAAGTTTCATATAAAACGCCGGCACCAAAATTTTAATACATTTTCGGATATAACATATACATTTAATATGCATTGACCTCGCAAATCGACTTATACGTGCGAAAGTAATATCATTTCCTAGTGATTACGTGTATTAACACAAAATATATAGGAAATGCTTGTGATACCAAAGTGCAGCTGTAATCCGCTAATGACAGTTCTAATCCGAAAGAAGTAGAGGATAATCTCTATTGAGTTCTGTTTTAATCCTATGATAAGAACTCTTCGAACAGTTGTAAGAAATGCCGGGAAATTCTATCTATGTAGGTATAGTAGTAGTATGAATCAGAGGGTCCCGGGTACAAGGCGCAGGCGCGATGTTTTCATTCGCCTCACATCCGATCATTACTGTCCGTTCATCCTCAACAATCATGCATAAATGTATTCTGGAATACATCTAAAAACGTATTTATTAATATTAAACAGACAGCGAATGTTTATTGGTTTTTTTATGAGTTTTCTTTTATTTATCACCAGGTTGATAGCTGCACAATGGCTTTTGTAAAAGTTTTCTTATTTTCTTCCCATTCAATTGATTATGGAGAATATTCTGCAAGCTGTTAGATATTTTTTCGCACGTTGCCATCGCCAGCCCTTCGCGAGTCGTAAATATCGTCAAAGCTCTTGAATCTTCGCTGTACGTGACCAAAATGTGAATAATATCTTTTCGTTACGGCCACTGTTTGATTCAAATATAATTTATCAAAGAGGCATAGTTTCTCAAGTGATGGCGTCTTGACTGGCTCCATTCATCTTGTATCTCATCTGGAAGGTAATAGAGCAAACAAATTTTCCTCCGCACTCAATGATTCATCATTTGTTCCGAAGCGTTATTAATCATAGCCGAAATATTACACTGTCTATCTATATTAGTAAATTGACATTTTTATCGGTACATGTCGTGTTCATTTTGTTATGATGGTCTAGTAGTTACGTAATTCCGGATTACTGAATCTCTGGGTCGACCGGTAATTGCTATGGAGGGTTTTGTATCACGAAATAAGTCACTAAACTAATCATTAAGTTCAGGATGTTTCCATGCCTAGAAGAATAGCCTTGGTGTCTATATCAGGCGACAATCTAAGTCATTAGGGACAGAGTGTGTCTAACTGAGGATGTAGTATTAACTCCAGTCTGTCGCAAATGGCAATATAGACCTTAAGCACTATGAATAGGTTTCACAATAGAGCTCTTTGTAAAAACCCTTAATTAATCTTTTAAGGGTTGAAAATACTTTATTCGGTTCCATAAAACAATACCGAATCGAACTGAAAATCTATGCGAAAAATGAAAACCAATTACAGGACAGGATAGGCAGATGTGTATTTTAATTGTATTGTCACGAACGTACCTACAAGTGGAATAAATTATTTCAGAGCGCTGTTGTAAGGGCTGTTTTAATTTAATGATTAACTTATGTCACTCGTGTTTTGAAAGTAATTAACGTAACCACAACATCATGCATTTTATCTAAGAAAGAGTAGGCAGACGTGCACAGAAAGTCTTCAATTTAACACAAACTAAATATGTTAAGACTCCCATAAAATTGGTGGTGAGGTTGGCTTATTGCAGACTATTGTTATACACTGGGTATAATTTCAGCCTCTATGCTATTACATACTTAGAATTTTCCAATAACACTTTTCCCAATCCGGGAATTGCTCCGTAAGGTCTTTCTTCTGTAATTGCGCTTTCGGCTACTAGACGAAACAAATTACTTTTTTAACATTTGATAGAGAAGTTTGTGGGAACAGTGATTGAGTTGAGAATAATAAATTTATTCTACCTAACTACTCGCAGCTACTACTGAAACTTGGTGTTTTATTCAAACTTAATATAGCTTGGATTTCCTTATTGTGACTGCATTAGATATGGGGTTGAAAGATTGATCATTATATGTAGGTATAGTTAGTGTCATTACGTAGTTTTCTTTGTAGATTATAATTATATTAATTTGTTCTGTGTACAAGTTACACTGCATAAAATGCTTACTCTCAGATCCTATATAGAATTAGTATTAATATTAATTCAAGTTAAAAAATTTCTGCAACTGCAACTTTACATTGTAATTCGCACAATATTAGCTGTTTATAAGCGCTTTAATAATATGTAAAAAGGTGTCCTGCCTAATTAAGGAAATTTTAAAGTTATAGAATAGCAAAATGTATGTATTTTTTTAAATGTATTCGAATACACTAGACGAAAATACATAGTGGCCATAATGTTGTGTGTATTTTTCACACATTAACAAGTTGCGTTATTTCAGCACAGCGATATATTTACCTTGTACCGCAATAAAAACAAAATATTTGCAATGTTATTTTATTTTATTTTGCTTTGCAATACTGACTGGTCACCATCTGTTCAAATACACACTAGATTTAATTAAATTTTCATTTCAATGGAAACCACGGGATCGTGAATAATTTGCTCTGCACATGGTTTTATGCAAACATAAACCTGGATAGTTATAATTTTATTTGAACACATATTAGTTGCATATACTTAGATAATATTTTCAAATAAATACAGAGCATGAATAAACTCTTCACGCGATACTTAACTACATAGAAGTGTAGTCAGTTATAGATTATAAAATTACCATATTTTTTTATGGTAAGCAATCGGCGTCGCCCATGGACACTTGGAACGCCAGAGGCGTTACAAGTGCGTTACCGGCCTTTTGGGGATTAGGAGTTTGAGGATTCATGGATTGGAGAGATTGATAAACGGAGGGCCCCTCCTCCGTTTATCAATCGTTTATCAACCCCGGGGGGGAGAGGTTATTGGACCTTCGGTAACCTCACTAACACGTCGAAACACAACGCAAGCGTTGTTTCACGTCAGTTTTCTGTGAAGCCGTGGTATAACTCAGGTCGAGCCGGCCCGTTCGTGCCGAAGCATGGCCTTCCTACAATTATATCGTAAAGGATGAAACTACAGATACACTCGAAAAAATATACCAAAATCTCATACTACATTGTCAAAACTATCAATCAAAAAGTAAACTATAATTGTTCGAAATTTCGATCACAGCCAAGATCTCACGACTACAACAAAAGGTTAATCTAATTGAACAATAAAGTATTCATCAAGCTACAACTAAAATCTTAGAGAGATTGAACTAATGTAACTTTGATTCTAATCTGTTTGCAACAGAACATAAGTACCAAACTTGCCCCGAGGGAAAGTAGAGACGTCACTCAGAGACAACTGTTAATCGAGTGCCAATCACTCCAAGAATCTTTCGAATCCATTCATTTCATTCGGTCAATTCGTGACGTTGCTACTTCATTGTTATGGTTACACATCGAGCTTCACATAACCAGTATAAACTGAACGTTAAATGTGCGGAAAGATGATGCGACGCGACACCAGGATAAACTGGTTTTGTATAGATTGATGTGTGGCCGTGTGAACAATTTCATTTCTCTCTTACTAGAGATGTTGAGATTACGTAGTTTACTCCACTACTCATGAGAGGGTTGTAAAGGACTCGTAAAATTCTAGTTATCTGCACTACCATGCCTGTCTCATTTTAACAAGATGTTACGTAGATACGTAGGAGAAAATTGCAGATATACACCCCTAGCTTTTGGCTACGATATCATACGCAGATAAAGTTGTAGATTATCTCATGCTTATAGGAATATTTGGAAATCCTTTCTATGTGCCCCTTTAAGACCAAATAAATCTACGTACATAATAATTGGGATGATGACAGGGTATGAAAATTAAACACCTAATTACCCCGTAAGTTAGGTAATGAAAAAATATTAGACACGTATTTTTTATTTTGTCGTATAATAAAACAGTCATTTCTACGTATAAAATGTACATAGAAGTGACGTCACGCGACATTTCAAATCAATATATCGTCAAAAGTACTCGTTTCTGTAATAAAATAAAAAATACGTCTCTAATGATTTAAAATCATCTACCAGACGGACATTAAAATAAAAATTAGGCATTTCTTCTATCCTATGTAATAATCGATTGAATAAGAACTACATTTATTAACACTATTACATACTACTTAACTATGATATATATTTATATGTATAAATATATATAATGTATGTACATTATATTAGCATTAGCATGTATGTATATATTTAAACAAAGCTTTACGACGTAATAATAAGTATTTCAATATTTATTTTGACCATTTTCACAATAAATACTAATTTAAAATAAATGTAAAAGATCCAACAGTCAAACTATTTATGTATAGTTTTGTTGGACATGGCGTTAAATTGTAAGGCATACCTTGTACCTTTTATCATTAAATAAAAATAATAAATAAATACGTTCCCAACAGCTTTTCATAGCCAATAGATTTCTTAGTCTATAGATCATCATGATCAGCAGCTCATTTTAGATGAAATACGTACAGTCTGACTGATGTCGAAAACGAATATTCACAAATGCGAATTTAAATCTACATTTCCCATCTGTTCTGCGAATTCAAACCTTGCAAAGGGGGAGAGAATCTATTACATCGCTTTATATACAGCAGGGAAAGATTTCGAGGAAGCGGTCCGCGCTAAATGAAGCTAAATGAGTGTGCTCAAATAAATGAATAGTCGAGGTGTAACTGTCTTGTCCACACAAATGTACAGCTAGCTGGAAATAATGCTTATTGTGCGGTTTTGTGACAGCTTATCTAACATCAACATGGTCCTCTGTAATACGGAATCAAATAAATTAACATGTGCCTCAAAATTA